GATAACTAAGGCCTCACAGTCGGCCCAGTGTTGTCTGGAGCGCCCGGCTGGTCAGGCCGCAATCACTACTTAATGTGGTCTTTATGGCACTCTCACTCTGTGGATCCCGAGCCAGATGTGATGGCACGCCTAGGTGCGGCTTCGGACGTGCCAGCCAACCTTTTTTGTTGGCTAAAATCTTGGTTAGTTGCAGTGTGGACCAGGGGTGTGGAGTGGAACGCCAAGGTGTGAGCTTGACTGTACTACCCACCAGTGTCCTCCTCGGCCTCTAGTCTTTTTGACTATGTCCTAACGCCAGGTTCAGGTGGGGCAGGAGAGAGTGCGGTAGATGCTTTGCAAGTCTACATTCACTATAATCTACTTCACGCACAAGTCACCGTCCCTGCTCCACCTTGCTGTGAAACACACAGTAGACATCGTCGACAACGACGGTCGATCTGTCGTCCTCGGTGTAGCAAGAGACGACTCAGAAAAACGGCCCTCCTGGGCTGACTGGTGTAAAACTGGCAGGTAGCGAAGATGCATTTACCTATTTCTTTCAAATTCTAATTAATATTCACTAAAATGAGTCAAACCAACATCACAATTTATATATCGGTGGGCTTTATCGAGTTTGTCTGCGAGGGCAGTAAAACAGTTATTCGACCAAATTCTGCAAATTTTGTCACCTGGTGAATTGCTCAGTCTCAAAGGTGCCGACTACTACAATCTAACGTCAAAACGGACCCACCCACTCGATGATATACTTTGTAATTTGCATCTTTCTGAAATTAGATTAAGACTCATCTTTTCTCGAATTTTTGGCAAAGTCTTCTGCTCAGTGAACGAATCTGGCTGCCTCAGCTTTGGTGCATTCCTAAGAAAACCTTGCGCAAACACCCCCAATTATTTCTTCTTCGTACATGTGCCAGTTAAATGAACTAGAAACCTCATGGGTTGAGAGTCTTGGAACTGTCCTCTGTGTCAATATCTTATTTGTGTTACGCCAAATCTTCCTTGCAATACACCTTTGTTGTTGAAATGCGTGTTTTAACATCCACAATTCTGTCTTAGTTACTCATCCATTCCCCTCCCTCACCTTCGAGGTCTCTCCTCTTCACTTTCAAATCAACCTTCCCTTTTAAAAACCTGCCGGCCGATATGGCCTATCAACTAAACTGTTTGTTTCTAAGGTCGCACCTTTATCTTGTTAGTCGTCTACTTTCTCCATCCTTTCTGAACAGCCTTTTTCACCACTTCGCGAAAGAACCATCGTATATATATACAACTTCGAAAGCAATAAGCTCTTTGGGAAAGATTAACAAGTTTTATTGTAAATTTTCGATCTTGGTTCACCAAGTCGTCTTCAGACGTGTAGGAAGTGTGCAAAATAGTCCACATTTAAACATGCCGAAAAAATCGATTTTGCCTTGTTTTTATTTGGACAGATTTTGGCAAAATCATCCTGCTTCGGCATTTGTGTCAAAAGGATAACTGCACTCGCGTGAGACTTTCGCGAATCGCACACTTTTCCCACAGTCTAACTTCTAGCAAAACATCGCGATTAAAATTCATGCGAAATATATACAAATATATAAATGGTAAAGGGACGCTCACCGATCGTTCTTGCGGAACTCATTCGTTAATTTGTGTTTTGCGGACTCCGTCTCGAGCCCAACCGAAGACGCACAGCGACGTAGGATATAGGCAGAATTTCAAGAGCAACATAGAACAGGGAGACTAGAACGAGTAGGTTCCGTATGAACGATCGGTGAGCGCTCCCCTACCATATATATATATATATATATATATATATATATATATATGTATCAATCAGGAATGGGCGCACACCGATCTATTGGCTTCACAAAGCAAACAAGCTCCGTATGTGTGGCAAAGGTCACGAACAGGCAACCAATTACCAGGCCGAAGTCGGCCAAGTCATAATAGCAGCGAGGAGGGACGATAG